GTAGGAAGGGACCTTGGAGGTCTTCTAGTTCAACCCCCTCCCTAGGCAGGAAACCCTATACCATTTCAAACAAATGGATATCCAACATCTTCTTAAAGACTTCCAGTGTTGAGGCGTTCACAACTTCCAGAGGCAACTTCTGTTCCACTGATTCATTGTTCAGACTGTCAGGAAATTTCTCCTTAGTTCTAAGTTGCTTCACTTCTTGATTAATATAACACAATACAATAGCAGAGTAGGAAGGGACCTTGGAGGTCTTCTAGTTCAACCCCCTCCCTAGGCAGGAAACCCTATACCATTTCAAACAAATGGATATCCAACATCTTCTTAAAGACTTCCAGTGTTGAGGCGTTCACAACTTCCAGAGGCAACTTCTGTTCCACTGATTCATTGTTCAGACTGTCAGGAAATTTCTCCTTAGTTCTAAGTTCTCCTCCTCTTTTCCTCCCCCCAGCACTGATGAAATTGCCTAGTTTGGGTAAGGCAACGTCTGCAGAAAAACCACCAACCTCAGAGGGCACCAAGGACCCTTCATTTCAACCCTGAGCTCCCAATATTCTCTTCTGTTGATACCTCTCTGATCTTCTCAGTTTTTTTCTCCTCTTCTCCCTGTCAATATTTAGATGGTGTCCGTCCAAATGCCTTTTCCCCCCCCTCCAGAAAATGCAAATTACGCAGATCACACAAAGGTCCTCATTTCTGGACTCTCTCCGCCGTAAGATTTGACCGTGGGCGTTTGGCTCTCAAAATATGTGCCGTTTATCAGCTTTGCCATTTTTCGAAAAGCAGCTGAATGTAAATGTCGTGTTTGAACCCAAAATAGTGGGTTTTTTGAGATCAAAAACATGTACAAAGCAGCCTTCTCTGTGGTCTGCCGGGCGCTCACTTCAAACCTGAAGCATTTTGAATTCCAAACCGTTTTGAGGTTCGAAATGCTTTGCGGGTCCCTCCCAGAAGTGCAGGCATGGAAGGGAATTTACATTTTGATGCTGCATTCATTTAGGCAACATGAATTGGGCTGGGTTTTTGTTAAAATGTCGATGAAGTCCTTGGTGATCCTCATAATTGCCACCAGAAATGGAAGCAGCTCGAAATCTTGAAAAGAACATTAATTCCTGCGCATAAATGGTGTTGTTTTTGTTATCCGCGCAGTGCAGAATCGGGAAATCACAGTTTTAATCCATTTCTGTATTCCTTTAGATCACTGGTGTATATTTTGATTTTTTTTTAAAAAAAATGGGCTGGGTCTTTGTAAAAATGTGGATGAAGTCCTTGGTGATCCTCATAATTGCCACCAGAAATGGAATGTGTGCTCAAGCAGCTCGAAATCTTGAAAAGAACATTCATTTCTGCGCATCGCGCAATGCAGAATCTGGAAATCACAAGTTTTTTTTTATCTATTTAGATCGCTGACGTGTATTTTGATTTTTTTTCTTTGTTTTAATTTGTTCCAATGTGTTTTCTGGTTCTAGGAGAAAACAAACGAGCTTGCAGAAAAACAATCCTTACAGTAAGTTTCCTGTTTTCCTATTTCTTTCATCTCACAAGATCTCTTTAAAATCTGACTCGAGGGGCCTTTCCACACAAAAAATCTTTTGTTGGTGTTGGGACAAAACGGGGCCTTCTCTCTGGTAGCACCAGAATTGGGTAATTCCTTTTAAAGCGAGGGTAGATGAATTTTGACACCTGGTGATTTTAATATGTCTACCAAGTTTTCATTTTGCTTGGCTTAATATTTATTGGGCCTCTTATTGCTCCGCAATCTTCCCTTTGAAGTCAAACTTGTAGTTTATTTATTTAATCAGATAGGACTAGAACTCACTGTCTCCTGGTGATTGGCTCAGAGTCACCCAGCTGCTTTCCATGTCTAAGGCAGGATTAGAACTCACAGTCTCCTGATGATTGGTCCAAAGTCACCCAGCCGGTTTTCATGCCTAAGGCAGGACTAGAACTCACAGTCTCCTGGTGATTGGCTCAAAGGCACCCAGCTGCTTTCCATGCCTAAGATAGGACTAGAACTCACAGTCTCCTGGTGATTGGCTCAAAGGCACCCAGCTGCTTTCCATACCTAAGATAGGACTAGAACTCACAGTCTCCTGGTGATTGGCTCAAAGGCACCCAGCTGCTTTCCATACCTAAGATAGGACTAGAACTCACAGTCTCCTGGTGATTGGCTCAAAGGCACCCAGCTGCTTTCCATACCTAAGATAGGACTAGAACTCACAGTCTCCTGGTGATTGGCTCAAAGGCACCCAGCTGCTTTCCATACC